ATCATTGGGGAGTCAACCAAGTGGGAGACCAGCGGAGCGGCAGCCAGTCTTCATCCGTCGCTCAATCCGATCAGCAGCAATACTTTTAGCTCCGCGCTTAACTTAACATTGTACTTAGGAATTATAGACATATCTACTGGGTAGTTTTATTATTACGACATACGATTCATAGGCAATTACGCCTTCGATAGCGACCGTATGGTTAAACAAGTATAAGGGCCATAACGAAAGAATCTTTCTTCTCTCTTTCTACTGGTTAATTCGGGTGAAGTTGCAAATTAGTTACAAATTAGAATAAATAAATATTACGCGTATCGCTAGTTCCGCGCACAAATAACTAATTCATGGTTTGAATCAAATGTTTTACCGAACTGTATATTTAGTGTATTTTTAGTGATATATATATATATATTAAATCGTTATTGTTAATTTGTGGTGATACTTTTCATTCATCTCGTTGTCCACCGAACTTCCCATCCATTCATCTAAAGAATCTGAGGGCGTTTGAATTAATATCTATCCAAGGGGGCGAATTCCAGTCCAGGATATACGGCAACCCCCTGATATCATTCATTGGTTGGAAAGTCTTGGCAGCGGTGGTAAGTCAGTAAAAATATATTGGCGCTAATATACATCAAAGGAGCGGACGGTTTTCTATGCGGCAGCCATTCTTCGAGCAACAGGAATCACTTGCTCTCAATCCCGAGTCCTTGTACCAAAACGAGAGGAGTCTGCGAGGTTGGAGTAGAAGGGTAGTCCTTGACCTGACCGTATTAGCAGCTCACAATTAAAAATTCTTTTTTTTTGTGTTTTCTCCCGTCTGGGACGTAACATAAATTATAAGAAAATTTTTGGTGGCAGCGGTGGGATAGTAAAGCCTCCCTTGGGACTTAACTATTTCATTTACCTACTTCTTTTGGCATATTCGATTTTAATGCTAGAACCTTTCACAACAACACTCTAAGAATGGCGGCTTCAAAAAAACCCGGTACTCCTACAAGGACCTCCCTCACGGAGGAGGAATTAAGAGCGTACGAGGGAGAGTTGGACGAACGGGAAGCAAGGATATTACTCTGTCTGGAGGAAAATAAAGCCACAGAACAAAAAATCAAGAAACTAGAAAAGAAAATGCGGGAACGAGAAAGCGATATGCAAAAGTTAGAATCTGAATTAGAAGCGAGAATAATGAAAATTGAAGAACAGGAGAGAAATATCCAAACACATCTTCGCGAAATAACTGATCAAAAAACGAAATTGAATAACCGAGAGTTAGAAATAGAAAAACGTGACATAGATTTAGATAGACGCGAAATAAATCTTCAACGACGCGAAAATGAACTTCGCGCAAAAGAATTAGACCATCGGCACGAATCTATGTTAATAAATGAGACGCGAAATACGCCTATAGCCACGGCCATACCCCGTGAAGGGAGCCCGTATTCATCTAGGAGTAATCTGGAATCTATCGTCGACATTGACTTACCTAAAAGAAATCGTGTAACAGATGAAGAGAAACCTGAACCTAGACCGATTCGAACGAAACCAGTTCAAATGGCAGGGTCAGAATTAAAGCTAAAGGAAATAACCGAAACAATCCCGCGTTTTGATGGGTACAATATATCGGTCCTCCAATTTTCGAGAGCATGCAAGAGGGCTATGGATCTGTTCCTTGAACGTCCTTCCGGGGAAGTGGAAGCGATGCTAGTTCGAAGAATTCGAGCCAAATTAGATGGGCATGCGTATTCAGTCACAGAAGACCAGGAGCTACAAACGATAGAACAACTGGTAGGCTTGCTAAAAGCAGCCTTCCAGCCAGCCAAATCCGCAAGCCATTATAAGGGACAATTAGCTAATATCTACATGAAATCCAGGGAAAGGATCTTAGATTACACCGAACGCGTAAAGGAATTAAAACAAGCCATAATCGAGGCGGAAATTAAGGAATCGGGAGAATTGTCAGATCATCAACGGAGACGAATTGAGTGCGAGGTACTCGACGCACTAGAGAATGGCTTGCCGGAGGAATATGAGTTACGGATGAAGCATGAAAGATATCACGACTTAACGACGGCGGCCAACGCCCTTCTAAGAATAAGTAGGGCCCTAGAGAGAAACAGAGCTCGTACCAGCAAGGAAGAATCAAGGGAGGCCCCTAAAATACGTGCGATCACGAGCGGAAAGATTATTTGCACAATCTGTAAGGGGAGCGGTCATATGGCAAAGGATTGCCGAATCAGAGGGAGACCACCAACCTTTTCGGAAATCACCGCAAGGCCTTCCTCTCCTCGGTCAAAAGACCAGGTACTAAATGTAGCTTTAAACAATAGGCCATTTAGCCCACGTGAACAGCGAACCTGCTACTATTGTAAGAGAATTGGCCACATTTTAAAGGATTGCCGGAAACTTAAGTACGATAGTGAACATAGAAGTGGGGATAAACACCACGCGTATAATTCGGGCCGTCAGAGCTCGGAGGATAGGACAAGAAGCCGCCGGAAATCGACGGAACATAGACCACAGTATAGCCAAGGCAATGACCGCCGGAGTTCGCCGCCAAGGGCCATTAATAGGGAAAGAAGACACTCAACGTCCAGCAACCAGGGAAACCCTGTAAGCGGCCCGTCGAGATCAGACAGGAGCGGGGCCGCCATGGGAAACGCTCACGGACAATCCAATGCGCAGGCGACTCAATCAAACAAGTCGCAACAATAAATTATAAACCAACAGCAAAAGCACCTACCATAGTTATGGACATCGGGAATCATGGAAGACAGGTCAAATTCATGATTGACACTGGCGCAGAAGTTAACATTATCAAAGAAAGTGCTGTCGAATCGAATTCCTATATCGACAACAACGATGTAATAAAGGTATGTGGCATTACGGACGACCATATTCGAACGAGGGGTTCATTGGCCGCCCACCTCTTTGGGAAAAAGGTACGGTTTTACGTGGTGGGATCGAATTTCCCGATCGAGCAGGACGGTATTCTGGGAAGTGAGTTCCTGAAAACAGTTGGTGCTGATGTAAGCTACACCCAACAGTGTATGAGGATCGCGGACAAGGAAGTACCTTTCACAGACAGACAATTCATGCGCGTATCGGCAAGGACGAGTACGGTGTTTCATTGCCGTGTCAAGAATCCCGAAATCGATGAAGGTTACATTCCACGGATAGAATCCTTACAGGGAATATACATGGGGGAAGCCATTGTTAAAAATCACCAGGGTCGGGCTTATCTCAGGGTGATAAACACCACTAATGAGGATCAGGATATCGTGATTCCCACGCTGGAATTACAAGCATTCGAAGCACATCAGGACAAAATACGAGATACACCAGGAACATCAAAAGAGGAAATAACGGTATGCGTCGGAACGATCAAGAATTGTCAGAAGAACCATGATCAAGATAGGCGGAGGAAGCGAGAGAACAATAATAGGGCAAAGGAGGTTGAAGCACTGTTACGTCTAGATCATTTGAACAACGAAGAAAGGAAGAGCGTCATTGACCTCTTATCTGTCAGCGCAGACTGCTTTCATCTCCCAGGAGAACAGCTGGAGAGCACACAGATGCTGACGCATAGAATTATTACTACCGATGAGATACCGATACATACCAAACAGTACAGGTTCCCACCCATACATAAGGAAGAGATAAATAAACAGACACAAGAACTGTTAGAGAGTGATATAATAAGGCCATCCCTCTCTCCTTACAATTCCCCTATCTGGGTAGTACCCAAAAAGGCTGACTCAAAGGGAATTTAACGTTACTACGGATGCGTCAGGTTATGCTATAGGTGGAGTGCTTAGTCAGGGACCGATAGGGAAAGACCTGCCTATCTCTTATTGTTCAAGACTACTAAATATAGCTGAAAAGAACTACTCGACCATTGAACGCGAACTCTTAGCAATAGTCTACGCCGTGCACTACTTTAGGCCATACTTATATGGCAGGCAATTTACGCTAGTTACTGATCATCGTCCACTGGTGTGGCTAAAATCCCACAAAGATCCTACTTCGCGTTTGACCAAATGGGGTTTGAAACTAGCCGAGTACGATTTCAGAATAATATACAAGGCAGGCACAGCCAATGCAAATGCCGACGCTCTTTCGCGAAATCCACCAGGAACGGCGCAGGTCTTGCCACTTCATAGAGACGACAGCTCCTCAAATGAGTCCTTGTATTCTCGCAGGTCAGGCACACACGGATCTGATACAAGAGAGCTAGAGAAGCTCTTCGATCGGATAGACATAAGTAAGGTGCCAGGCAAGACGGAGGGTATTTGCTCAAATAATTCTCCTATCATTGCTGATAGCGATTCAGATTCCAGTTCCGATACTTTATTCGAACCAATATCGCGGCCATATGAATTGCAGAATCAGGAAGAGTACACATTCAGAATTTCACAGAATCTTACAGAAACTAGAGATAGATTAACAATGAGAAGGGATAATCTAGCTATCTTCATTACTCAGAAGGGCAACCCTTGCGATGAGGGTGCTAAACAGCTTCAGGATATGAATAAACTCCCAAATTACAAGGATTTAACTCTAGGTCGGGCAAGGGTCACTAAATATGGATCTAAAAATCTAATATCATTAGTCATTAAGGAAAATAATAATGTGATAACGGATGTAGAAATTCTGAATGATGCTCTGGAATCGCTCCTATCAGTGACAAGGGAACTAGATTTGCGTACGGTAAGCATCTCCAGCTCGAACAGAATAGATGACATACCATGGGAATATATCCAGCAAAGGCTAGGAGAATTATTCGACGCGGAAGATTGCACGATTTGCTTCTGTAAAAATTTGATTAGAATACCCAAGGAGAATGAGCGCGAGGACCTAATACGCGAAAACCATTCATCTGCTTTAGGGGGTCACAAGGGAGTGACCAAAACTTATAGCAGAATAAGAACGAGATACTTTTGGGAAAATATGAAAGGGCAGATTCAGACCTTCATACAGAATTGTTTGGATTGCCAACTGAAAAAGCTAGTTAGAGTCAAAAATAAGCAACCAATGGTGTTAACGGACACACCAGGATCTGCATTCGATAAAGTAGCACTCGACGTAGTGGGTCCTCTAGCCCAGACTGAAAAGGGGAATAAATATATTTTGACAATTCAGGATCAGTTAACAAAATTCTCTTTAGCCGTCCCTCTTGCGAGCACAACATCAATAGACATTGCCAATGCTTTAATCTCAAATTTAATTTGTAAGTTCGGAGCGCCTAGGGCAATACTCACAGACCAAGGATCAAACTTTTTAAGTACCCTACTACGAGCTATAGCACGTAAATTTAAGATAAAGCAGTACAAAACTACAGCTTTCTACCCACAGTCAAACGGATCATTGGAAAGGTCTCACCATGTCCTAATCGAGTACCTGAAGCAATTTACGGATAAGGAAAAAGATTGGGACGAATGGGTAGACACGGCTATCTTTTCATATAATACAAGTGTACACGAGGGAACACGATACACGCCCTACGAACTAGTCTTCGGAAAATTAGCTAGGGTTCCAGCCTCAGATCCACCTTTGGACGATGAAATGGACAGGACATACTTACAATATTACGCGAATCTAATAAACAAAATAAATAGAACACAAGAGGTAGCACGACAAAATTTGATGAGATCGAAGGAAACTTCAAAAAGGTATTACGACAAGAAAGCAAGACCGTTAACGCTAAGGGAAGGGGATAAGGTATTTTTACTGAAGGAACCTACTAACAAATTCGGCAACCAATATACAGGACCTCATCAGATTTTAGAAATACTCCCTCGAAATAATGTTAAACTATCAATAGGAAACCATACTAGGATAGTGCATGCTAATAAGTTAAGAATATCTAAAATGAAATAGGTTAAGGTGATTATTTTACAGAAACCATGGGGCTTCTCGGAATTTTAATAACAACCGTAGGAATCATCTCTGAATGTTACTGTTTGTTGGGGTACGACTGTGGGGGAGGATCAACCAACATCACAACAATTTCACTATTGGACACGGGAGAATGTAATATCCCATCACATGCACCCAATGCTACAGAAGTCTACATTCAGCTTCTACAATTAGCAGAATACGATTACACGCACGTACACCAATGCCGAGTGGAGATTGATAGAACAATTTATTATTGCGGAATGTCATCACATGTGTCAGCTGTTCAAAATGGAAGGCGAATATACCTGATGGACTTAACAGCTGAGGCATGCAAGGCCACGTTCAACACCGGTATAATGGGAATAACACCGACCCTGCAGGTATCAGGATTGCGGGCCAATGCCACCGAATATCGGAGTGCCACATTAGCAGGATCAATTTCAATGGACGGCAAGTGTTCGGGAACACAATACGCCGATCCGTACGGCACGTGGGACAATGTAGTGGTGCAAGCATCACTCAAAATTAACATCAAGGAATATTATGCTACTGTAAAGATAAGACAGAACAACGTGATTTTGAGCAAAGGAGAGGTGTGCGTATTTACGGATGGAATGTGCCTAACCGACGAGGAAGGAAATGCGTTTTGGTCGACCAGGCCGGAGTCGTCCTGTAACTTCGATAACTACAAGGTGCTATATGAAGGATTTGCGACCAAATTAAAAACCATGGGTAATACGGAAGTATACCCGGACATATACACCATCACGACTCAAGACGTTACATTCACCTTGGAAAAAAGAGCAGAGCATCATTTGTGCGGATATACTTTACTACTGAGCGAGCATCCAAAATTATTCATTCTAGAGACGCAGAAAGGAAGGACCTTTGCGTCAAAAGCAAAATTATCAGTCGAAAACCTCGATCTGTTCGCTTATGTTAACTCCAAATTTGTTTACCTTGAAAAACACATAAGAACGCAAATGACAGCCCTGTACAGCGACGTAATTAGGCAAAAGTGCGAACTAGAAAAACAGGTCCTTAAGAACGCTTTGGCATTAGCAACCCTCCGCCCAGATGAGTTCGCTTATACAATCATGAAGGCAGCTGGGTACATGGCAGTAACTGTAGGGGAAGTCATTCACATAGTAAAATGTACACCCGTCCCAGTCAGCATTAGGCAATCAGAAGAATGTTACCATGAACTACCTGTCACGCACCAGAATAACAGTCTTTACCTGACACCAAAATCGAGAATACTGGTAAAGACAGGCACCATAAAGGAATGCAACGCACTACTACCATCCATGTACTACTTGGAGGGGAATTGGTACAGACTGACACCGAAACCTGTGGAGGTACTCCCTCCTCAAACACTCCAACCATTAACAAAGCTAGCATGGAAATATATTAATACCAAGAACTTAATGACGAGCGGAATATATACGCATCAAGACTTGGACAACTTACGGGACCACATCATGTTCCCCGCAGAGAGACCAGGACTTTTAAATACAATTGCCAGAGGAGCGACAGGACACCGCATCCCACCTAACACTGTTTCGATGTATAACTTATTGGGAGAAGCAGACATCAACAAAATTACGGATAGCGCAATCTCGAAGCTGTGGCAAGGCTTTTTAGCATTTGGATCAGCAAGTGCTGGAATGATCGGATTATTTATCCTAGTTAAAGGCGTAAAATTATGTGTCGACGCCATTATCAGAGGATACGTGCTCCATACTGTCTATGGATGGAGCTTACATCTGTTAGGAGCCATCTGGAGTTCGTTGACGCATCTACTTCTTCATCTGGGACGATCAGATAAGCAAGACGGAAGGAAGACAACAAAGGGTGAAGGAAATAGTGATACCATTGAAGTAACGGTGGACGACACAAAAGATGATGCTACTCCGACACCCGCAACCAGAGGAAGTTCAAAATATCCGATTCTCGAAAGCATCCTAGCAGCTCGTAAAAACAAGTCGTCAGAAATAGAAATTTCCTAACGACTCAATTAAGGGGGGAGGTGTCACGTCGCCGTATAACGACGTGTGGTACCCAAGCATCTCTGGACATTAGTATATAGGATACGGAAATGCTAATCCCACTGTCGGTAATCATACTGTCTCTAGTTCTACTTTAGATAATCCAACATCGGTAATTCTGCTCTCGGAAATCTTCTGTAGGTTAATCTACAGTGGGTAACGCCATAATAATAATTAATCGCACCTCAGAAATTTTAACAAGAGATATAATTCACTATTATTATTAAAACGGGAACACTATTGTTAGATAAGGTTCACTTAATAAATAAAAAGAAAGAACATATGTCAAAATAAAAATTGTTAAACAAACAGAATAAAGTACATAGATAAGACCTTATATCTAGAAATTAACAATATATATATATATATGTATATATATATATACATATATACGTACACGCATAAAAACAGATTAATAATAGATTAATAGCGGTAAGGGACCTTATATTACATAATTATTAAGATGAGAATCATAATTAGAAAAAACAATAATTATATACTATTAAAATCCTCGCACACTTATAATGGCACACATTATTAAAAAATAATTATTAAAATAATAATGTTGTAATATTTAGAATATAAGTAGTAAAGATAGAGCGACAAGCCGAGACATTCATATCACGAATGGCTAGACTACATCCTGTGATAACCGCATTCCAGAGCTAAGGATTCCTGGAATTACGTCGGGTGATAATCGCATTCCAGAGCCTAAGGATTCGTGGAATTACATCCGGTGATAACCGCATTCCAGAGGCTAAGGATTCCAGGAACTACATCCGGTGATAACCGCGCCTGGGAACCGAGAATTCTGTGAAATGTATCTGCTGATAACCGCATTCCTGAGGCTAAGAATTCTCGGAACTACATCCGGTGATAAGCGTCGACTGGCAGCAATTCCCAGAAAAGTAACGAAGGAATGCTTGTACTACATCACGCCACTCCTTTCCCACGGGCAATACCCTCGCGTGCTGGCGGCAAGTCTGAGCGGCGCGCATGCGCAGCAACATCATTGGGGAGTCAACCAAGTGGGAGACCAGCGGAGCGGCAGCCAGTCTTCATCCGTCGCTCAATCCGATCAGCAGCAATACTTTTAGCTCCGCGCTTAACTTAACATTGTACTTAGGAATTATAGACATATCTACTGGGTAGTTTTATTATTACGACATACGATTCATAGGCAATTACGCCTTCGATAGCGACCGTATGGTTAAACAAGTATAAGGGCCATAACGAAAGAATCTTTCTTCTCTCTTTCTACTGGTTAATTCGGGTGAAGTTGCAAATTAGTTACAAATTAGAATAAATAAATATTACGCGTATCGCTAGTTCCGCGCACAAATAACTAATTCATGGTTTGAATCAAATGTTTTACCGAACTGTATATTTAGTGTATTTTTAGTGATATATATATATATATTAAATCGTTATTGTTAATTTGTGGTGATACTTTTCATTCATCTCGTTGTCCACCGAACTTCCCATCCATTCATCTAAAGAATCTGAGGGCGTTTGAATTAATATCTATCCAAGGGGGCGAATTCCAGTCCAGGATATACGGCAACCCCCTGATATCATTCATTGGTTGGAAAGTCTTGGCAGCGGTGGTAAGTCAGTAAAAATATATTGGCGCTAATATACATCAAAGGAGCGGACGGTTTTCTATGCGGCAGCCATTCTTCGAGCAACAGGAATCACTTGCTCTCAATCCCGAGTCCTTGTACCAAAACGAGAGGAGTCTGCGAGGTTGGAGTAGAAGGGTAGTCCTTGACCTGACCGTATTAGCAGCTCACAATTAAAAATTCTTTTTTTTTGTGTTTTCTCCCGTCTGGGACGTAACACTTGTCCGATTTCAATGATTTTACATTCTATCGACGCAGAATGAAGAATATAACAAAATTATAACGTTTTTACTATGTGTAAATACGCGTTATAACATGAAATTTGTCGAAAAATGTAATCGACGTATGTTAATTTCGGTATATGAGAAGATAAAATCGTCAAATCTATCTAAATACTTGTGCCACAGATTGAAAAATGTTACCAATCGATTCAGAACATTGCATTTCATAAGATCAAACATCAATTTTATAGTGGAATCGAAGTTTTTAACATTGTTTCATTTCGTATATACGATTTTTCGCTCATATACGCGTATCGACGAAAAATGAAAAATTGAAATCTCGTCCGATTTCAATGATTTTACATTCTATAGACGCAGAATGAAGAATATAACAAGAATATAACGTTTTTACTATGTGTAAATACGCGTTATAACATGATATTTGACGAAAAATGTAATCGACGTATGCGAATTTCGGTATATGAGAAGATAAAATCGTCAAATCTATCTAAATACTTGTTCCACAGATTCAAAAATGTTACCAATCGATTCAGAACATTTCATTTCATAAGATCAAACATCAATTTTATAGTGGAATCGAAGTTTTTAACATTGTTTCATTACGTATATACGATTTTTCGCTCATATACGCGTATCGACGAAAAATGAAAAATTGAAATCACGTCCGATTTCAATGATTTTACATTCTATCGACGCAGAATGAAGACTATAACAAGAATATAACGTTTTTACTATGTGTAAATACGCGTTATAACATGAAATTTGTCGAAAAATGTAATCGACGTATGGTAATTTCGGTATATGAGAAGATAAAATCGTCAAATCTATCTAAATACTTGTGCCACAGATTGAAAAATGTTACCAATCGATTCAGAACATTGCATTTCATAAGATCAAACATCAATTTTATAGTGGAATCGAAGTTTTTAACATTGTTTCATTTCGTATATACTATTTTTCGATCATATACGCGTATCGACGAAAAATGAAAAATTGAAATCTCGTCCGATTTCAATGATTTTACATTCTATAGACGCAGAATGAAGAATATAACAAGAATATAACGTTTTTACTATGTGTAAATACGCGTTATAACATGATATTTGACGAAAAATGTAATCGACGTATGCGAATTTCGGTATATGAGAAGATAAAATCGTCAAATCTATCTAAATACTTGTGCCACAGATTGAAAAATGTTACCAATCGATTCAGAACATTGCATTTCATAAGATCAAACATCAATTTTATAGTGGAATCGAAGTTTTTAACATGGTTTCATTTCGTATATACGATTTTTCGCTCATATACGCGTATCGACGAAAAATGAAAAATTGAAATCTTGTCCGATTTCAATGATTTTACATTCTATAGACGCAGAATGAAGAATATAACAAGAATATAACGTTTTTACTATGTGTAAATACGCGTTATAACATGAAATTTGTCGAAAAATGTAATCGACGTATGCGAATTTCGGTATATGAGAAGATAAAATCGTCAAATCTATCTAAATACTTGTGCCACAGATTGAAAAATGTTACCAATCGATTCAGAACATTGCATTTCATAAGATCAAACATCAATTTTATAGTGGAATTGAAGTTTTTAACATGGTTTCATTTCGTATATACGATTTTTCGCTCATATACGCGTATCGACGAAAAATGAAAAATTGAAATCTTGTCCGATTTCAATGATTTTACATTCTATCGACGCAGAATGAAGAATATAACAAGAATATAACGTTTTTACTATGTGTAAATACGCGTTATAACATGAAATTTGTCGAAAAATGTAATCGACGTATGCGAATTTCGGTATATGAGAAGATAAAATCGTCAAATCTATCTAAATACTTGTACCACAGATTGAAAAATGTTACCAATCGATTCAGAACATTGCATTTCATAAGATCAAACATCAATTTTATAGTGGAATCGATGTTTTTAACATTGTTTCATTTCGTATATTCGATTTTTCGCTCATATACGCGTATCGTCGAAAAATGAAAAATTGAAATCTCGTCCGATTTCAATGATTTTACATTCTATCGACGCAGAATGAAGAATATAACAAGAATATAACGTTTTTACTATGTGTAAATACGCGTTATAACATGAAATTTGTCGAAAAATGTAATCGACGTATGCGAATTTCGGTATATGAGAAGATAAAATCGTCAAATCTATCTAAATACTTGTGCCACAGATTGAAAAATGTTACCAATCGATTCAGAACATTGCATTTCATAAGATCAAACATCAATTTTATAGTGGAATCGAAGCTTTTAACATGGTTTCATTTCGTATATACGATTTTTCGCTCATATACGCGTATCGACGAAAAATGAAAAATTGAAATCTTGTCCGATTTCAATGATTTTACATTCTCTCGAGGCAGAATGAAGAATATAACAAGAATATAACGTTTTTACTATGTGTAAATACGCGTTATAACATGAAATTTGTCGAAAAATGTAATCGACGTATGCGAATTTCGGTATATGAGAAGATAAAATCGTCAAATCTATCTAAATACTTGTGCCACAGATTGAAAAATGTTACCAATCGATACAGAACATTGCATTTCATAAGATCAAACATCAATTTTATAGTGGAATCGAAGTTTTTAACATGGTTTCATTTCGTATATACGATTTTTCGCTCATATACGCGTATCGACGAAAAATGAAAAATTGAAATCTTGTCCGATTTCAATGATTTTACATTCTATCGACGCAGAATGAAGAATATAACAAGAATATAACGTTTTTACTATGTGTAAATACGCGTTATAACATGAAATTTGTCGAAAAATGTAATCGACGTATGCGAATTTCGGTATATGAGAAGATAAAATCGTCAAATCTATCTAAATACTTGTGCCACAGATTCAAAAATGTTACCAATCGATTCAGAACATTTCATTTCATAAGATCAAACATCAATTTTATAGTGGAATCGAAGTTTTTAACATTGTTTCATTACGTATATACGATTTTTCGCTCATATACGCGTATCGTCGAAAAATGAAAAATTGAAATCTCGTCCGATTTCAATGATTTTACATTCTATCGACGCAGAATGAAGAATGTAACAAGAATATAACGTTTTTACTATGTGTAAATACGCGTTATAACATGAAATTTGACGAAAAAT